CGTTAAACCCAGATTTATATAGTCAGATTTATTATTTACATATATATTATGTATTGTAAATATAAATATACGTATAATAAATGAATGGATAATTCCGGTTTAAGCTACCGCTACGTATATGTCAATTAATTTAAAATTTTTCTAAATGAATTCTTTATTAATAAATGCATCCATTATTGTACACACTTTTTCATATGCACATTTTATATACGATTAAAACATTCGATCTCTGTGCTTAATATTAAGCACACATCATTTTGAAATACATATATATTGATTTTGGATAACGTTTAAAATAGTTAATGGTTTCTTAATAGATTCGAATTTTTACTGCGATTATTGACAAATTGTTCTCTAAAAAAAAAAAAAATCAAAAGTTTCCAAATAAAAACCTCCCCAATTTCTTCTATAACACAATACATCCGCCTATGTCTATTATCCTCCTTTTAGCCAAAAGCAGAGCCGTAAGTTTACGGGTCTTCTAATTCTATAGATAATCATATCGTTTATCCATATTTAGGATGAGATTATCGGGTTGTTGACTTGTTACAATGATTGTCATACGTGTAGCAGCATTTGACTTTTTTTTAATAAATTAATAAAATGCGGTAAAGGACTTTTGCAAATTACGTAATTTACATCGTTATTTCACCTTACTATTGAGCTACGTCATTATATATAAAAAATTTTGTTTCGTACATACGTAGTATCTAAACTTTTTTTATTAGTCATTTTTTATACACTATATACAAATAGATTAAACCATTCGTATCACTAAAATAAGAGTATTAATGTTTTTTTAAATCTAATACAGGTATTATAAAATTCTATTACTAAAATTCTATCAGTTCCTTAACATATTTGTTAACTCCAACTAAATGCTTAATAACATTGACTAGTTTTATCATTTCATTAATAAGATGACTTGTTTTTATCAGATAGGCACAATAGCAAATAAATGCTTGTGTTTCCAAGTCTTCTTTTGTTAAATCTGATGCTGTTCTTCTAATTTTTCCTGATAACTTACTACCCAATCCAACTTTTCCAAACCTTGTATCTCCTGATGCGATTATATTGTATGGTGGTAAAGGAACTTTGTTTTCCAACGCAGTCGATAATATGTGAAATGTTGTTAATATATGCGTTATATAATTACATTTGACTGGATTGAATACATCTGCTAATTCTGTTTTCCATTCAGTTCCATAAAGTTCATGTAATATATGATCTAATCCACTGACAAGGCAAACCATATGTTCTACAATGTCTATAATCTGTCTATAACGTTCGATTGGAAAGTTACCACGAAGTGGTGGTTCATATTTTGTACGTGAAAGTAATAATCTTTCTATAGTTATTGATCGATTTATTTTGCTAACTAGTTTACGGAATGGTTTTGTTCTTAAATTTGGTCTTGCTTTTAACAATGATGAGATTGTCATTGAATATAAAACGCATATATCAGATATTGTACGTGCAAGACGTCTACGAACTTCAACTCTTCCCGTATGCGGCCAAGGTGTCATATTCATAATGAAAGCTGATGTAATACCAACACTTACTGCACTTGTTCTCTATTATCGCAAATGATATATGTAAATATTACTTATTAATTCTAATAAATAAATTAAAAATATACGTTTAATACAAACCTTTGCTGCAATGCTAAAGATTGTTTCACTGGTATTACCCATTCCATTATGAGACTGATAAACATTTGCAAGGACTAAAGCAAAATTGACTAACATAATAACTCCTCCAACTGTCCATACTTTTGCATTCAAATATATGAACCAAAGAAGCAATGAAAATATGAAAAGTAAACATGCAAGACCATAAGCATTTCCTTGTGAAATTTCCCAGGTGATTATAGCCATCGCAGCTCCCATAATTGAACCGAGGAGACGACCAAAAAATTGAAGAACGGCTCCTCCAGTAGTAGGTGAAAAAGAAAGAACTGCACTAATGACTGCCCACTATTACATTGAAAAAAAGTCAATTCATTTAAGAATATAAATATTTTAAAAGAATTATTATGAATTTTTTTGTTCTTACCTGTCCGTGATAAAAATTAAACCATGCATATGAATTCGGTAAAAATGCCGGTATACACAATGCAGTAACTACTAACGTATTTTTCATAGCAAATTTAGCATATATACTATTAAACCAGTTTCTAATCATCCATAATTTATACCAAAATCGTTGACATGATGTAGTCGGTCGTGTCACATCAGGATCAAATAATATTTCATTTTCAAGTTCTTCTTTTTCATCATCCCTAGTATTAGATTCGAAAAATTTTAAATGTTCTTCTTCTGTTCCTCCTACATCTCTTGTACGTTTAAAAAATGGTATTGGTGGATGCCAAAATTTTCTCGATTGCCTTTGAATTCCTAATATTTTTATAGTTCCGACTAAAAAACACAAATCTTCTGCAAATGTTTTAAGACTTTTTTCAAATAAAAGTATTAAGAGTAGCACTCTTTGTGGTACAGGACTTATAATTTCTTTATCTCTAAAGAGTCGATCTAAACCTTCAACACGCGCATTTTCAAATTTAGCTATAGCAGCATGAAGATGTCCCATAGGATCATCGATTACATTTTGAACGTGGCTTGGTGTTGCTTTAAGATTAAAAGGCCATATCTTTCGATACCATGGATCATGACAATCATGTTTTAAATGTTCAACACGTATCATGCAATCAGCTAAACACATTTGACACGTTTCAGAAAGTTCGGTACAAATAGGTCGAATAATTTCCAAAAGTCTTGTTAAATCCTCTTCACTTCCCGTTGCAGTCGCGATAGATGATGGAGATGGAGATTCATCAGCATAAGTAGTTAACGTTACCTGATCGAAAATCGAAGCATGATCACATTTATCTTCGATTCTGATCTCAATTATTCCTTCTTGTCCATCTTTTATTAATTCATCTTCAATTACACCACTTAAAGCTAATCTTTCTAAAATCGAATGCAAAGATTTTACAATTTTATTAATATCTAATAAGTCTTCTGGTCCAATTTTTGAATATGAAACTTCATGTTGAGCATCTTTTTTTGCAATATCAAGATTAAGAATATTATCTTGTAAATTTCGATAAAGTTCAGAAATTGTATTCCTATTTAACGGATCACGAAGGAAAAAATGCGTTTCTTGATCAAGCAAATCAATGAAATTTTGAAGGGTCTTATGAAGACAGGGTATGTAATTAGTAGTAGCATTCTCTGGCCATAACGTTATGTTAACCAGAAATGAACAAGCAGGACCAATTAACATCGGCATAAGCAAACTTTTCTGTATGCATAAAGATGATATCGATAGCAATAAATAAACTAATATCGAAGACGACGCGTTTTAACATTTAAATATAATAACCTACCAATATTTGATTTGTATTAGCGGGATTAACATATGATAATGTTAGGCTAAAACTCATAATCATGATAGCATTAATTGCACCATAACGCATAGGTTGCCATTTAATCTTATCATATGATAAAACAAATGTACCAATAGCCAAGAAAGTTAAATTGACTAACATAGCAGGAGTGTTAAATATTTCATCATCACCACGTATTGCTTGAGATATTTTAATACCTAAAAAAGACCATAATGTAGCTAAGCAAGCACCGACAATTCCCCAACCAGCGCTCTATATAATAAACAAGCCGAAATATGATTAATTATTGGACAAGTTGTAAAGTAAATATATATATATATATATTTATATATTTATTTAATTTATTTACCTCCCACAAAGAACCGAATGTTCTAGAAGGTTGAAAGTAGCAGACCATCACGATTGCCAAGAAGGTATAAGGGCCTAATTCCTGCATTGCAGGGACAATAAGGTCAATAACAAAGGCAAGCCAGTAAGCAACAGCAGCCTTAAGAACCTGCTTTGCCATAGGCCAAGTTGCTTTTGCCGATATGCGAACAAAGATAGGTTTAAGTAATTTATACCAGATATCTGAACATCTTGGCACTCGTTTAGGTGGTGGCTCTTGGGGTGGAGTATTGTTGCTTTCGTCGGGAAATCCTTTTTTAAACGTTTCCTGATAAAGACCCGAATTTATAACTTCACTGACGGCTTTGTATAGTTCACTATCTGCAGTCAAGGTTAATTCGTTATCATACTCTTCTGATGCTTCACATGGTTGGGAAACTTCGGCTATTGTTTCAATAGATAGTGAAGAACGCGACAATGTTGAATGAAGTTTGTTTTCAAAATTATTCGCCATTTACAATAAATCTAATTTTTTTATCTCCTTTCTTTTTTTTTTTTTATCTTTATCTTTTTTTTTTTAAAAAAAAAAAAAAAAAAAAGAGGAGAAAGGATTATAGATTAAGATTTAAGGAAAACGGCATTTTACCATTTTACAAATAATTGATCTAAGCGGCGTGTGATACAGTTACATACAAATCGGGATCAGCAATCCACACCTTTTTTGATATAGGTGCGTAACGAAGTAGGTGTAATAGTATAATAAATAAATAAATAAGTAAATAAATAATATATATTGCTAAAAGAGATAACGATTACAACGATTAAGATAAAAAAAAAAAAAAAACAACTTATGCGCGTATGCTGTTTAAGTTTCACAATGATTACTGATTTAGATGATCGCTTTTGTGAATAAAAAACTCCATTTTTATTAAACAGGCTGAAACTACGATTTTTAACATTTTAAAATTTATCAAATCGGACCTTCCCTTATTTATGTTAGTAAAAAGTTCAAGAGTTAAACAAGAGTCAGATGAGTTAGATGATTTTACAAATTTAACAGTTACATTACAGAGTATTGTTGATAATACAGTATTATACTTCTAGAGGCGTCAAATTACAAATGTTTATTGTTGTTTACTTATGTGTGGAAAGACCGAATAGAAATAGGTCTTCACATGCATATCTATCTATCAATCAAAGCTGATAAATTGTTCAATCATCCTACCTAAAAAGAATAACCCATCCAATTTTTTAAAATACTTATTTATTTCTCAACGATTTTAAAAACCTCAATTTCTTCAATTCTAAAATTATTTGTATCTAAAATACTATCTTCATAAGAATACTTATTACATGCCCCATTGTTATTATTCAAAACCAAATCACTTTGTCCAAAATGTGCACCATTATTAGCATAATCATAAACTGCATGTTGATGATTACTGACACGGCTAACCTTGTAATCGTCACTTGATTTACCATTACCGAAAGAAAAGATGAAACTATCAAATGTATTTGCCCAAGTAGGAAAACTTCTATAAATCCAGCCACACGGATTATAACCACCAATTATTTGTTCTGAACCTTCAATTTTAACAACGACAATGGCTGATCCTTGATTATTAGCATAACTACGAAATACACCATTATTGAATCCATGAAGGCTGCCACGATAAAGAAGCATAAATTCATAAGGGATCATTGCAGATACACATAATTTTCCATCAATTCGTTTGATCCAATTAGCAATAATTATTGCATGTTTTGGTTTAATTATCACAGAATCAATTCGCCAACGTCCCATTCTCGGTGATAGATTGATTGTTTTTGGTTCAGTTTCAGCCAAATAATGAGACATGAGATCCTCATATATATTTTGAGGAAGTATTTTCTTGTATGGGCGAACTTTATAATAAAAATCTTTGGATGAAATTTCGAAAAATCGAATAAGTGGAATGAACTGTTCAAGTGATTTCTTCAAAACAATAAAATGTTTTTCTGTCCAATTAGTAATATCATTAGGCATCTTGATGTCATTTGAATTGACGGTTTGTATTCCCCATTTGATTAGGTGTTCCCAAACTTCTATCTCATCAATTTCTAGATCTTCACGTTCAAGAAGTCCATAAAGGATTTCACTGTCTAAAGATGAAAAACTTTTGGATGAAAAAAATGGATGTGGATCTTGACAAATGGATTTTAAACAATGATCTTGAAGTTTTTTACAACTGTCAAGTTTAATAACGGTTTGTAGGACTTGCACAAAATTTGACCTCAACCAATTAGATTTTTCTTCAATTAAATGCTCTTGGCAATGATCAATTAGTTCATCAAGGAGTAATTCGTCGGATGCAACCAAAAGACCAAGAATATCCGGTCCAGATTGCTTACCCAAATCAAGAATCCCTGCATAAATATATCTATTTTAATATTGGTTTTATTATTATTATTATTATAATTATAATTATTACTATTATTACTCTAATTGTGTCTAATATTTCTAATATAATATGATACGTTTATATAATTTGTGTTAATTTAAGAAGAAAACATACTTGAGCATCATTGAAAACACCATCGGCGATACGTTGGTCTTATTAAAGATAATATTATTATCTTTTTTTACAACCCAATCACTCGAAAGTGCTCTCTTGAAATAAGGAGACCTGGCCATTAAAATATTCGAATGGGCTTGAAACTCTTTAATATTCGATCCTTCTCCAACTTGGATAGTAACATTGTAATCATTTGCATTGTCGAGAAGTTGTGAAAGATCGTGTGATAAATTTGAAAAAAATTGAGATGGCATTATCGAAAATTCTATTGGTTTTTTCCTAATCTATTTTATTTTTCCTTTCGTTTAATGAATTTCGTCTAGATTTTTTTGAGGAACAATATTTATGCAAACATTGTGTGGGTATTTCTATTTATATATAATGCCGATAGAATTTTCATGTGATCAGTCACATGATTAAACAACTTTGATTTTCAGACCTGATGGCCTGCATTAATGGAATGCACGCCTGCAGATTTTCAACCCTTTAATTCCAGTCGATTTGACATTTTTATTCATTGATATGAGAAATAAAGTTACCTTTCTGTTCAATAATAACATTTTACGATCCCATTTAGTAAAATTCGAAATTTGGGGACGTCATTCTATTTATCAAAATAACGTCAGTCATCTTCTGTGCGTACGCACATACACATGTACTGTACGTACGTACGTGTATTAAGTTAACAGTTAACATTGTCTGCCGGAAATTAAAAACTTGTCTTCATAAGACATTGAATATATCATATCAGATAAATATACTTTAATTATCGACTTAAACAATGAAAATTTTGTTACTTAAATAATACTTAAATCATCTTAACTAGTGATTTAGCGTTATTAATTAAATCATTATTTAATGCAAAAGCTTATGATGAAATATGATGAAATATGATGACGCAAAATTTTGTGTCTCTATTTAAGTTTATACTTTTTTTATTAACAAACTTTAATCTAATTTGCCAAAAAAAAAAAAAAAAACTCATCGTGGGTATCGTGAGTCAGGATAACAAGAAAGTACACTAGTTGAAATCAAAAAATATTGGTAAAAATATCAGTATCTGATATATAACCTATATGTAACTTATATTTAGCCTAAAAGCTGGTATTGGCTTATTGAAAATTATAAAGTATAGGCTAGCTTTAGGTTATATAAAAGTTACATATAACCTTTTAAACCCCCCAAAAAAAATAAAAGTTACATATAAGTCAAATATAATATTTACTGATATTTTTGATTTTAAAGTAGATGTGTAATCATATGATCACATGCTTGCTTCATATATTAAAATAAATCGCACTGGCTATATATTTTAATCTCAAGAACCCAGTGACGAACATAGGATAGCTCTATTGGTAAATCGATAAAGCATGCCTTATCGTTATAGCTTTATCGCATTCCGATATGTATTGACGTCTATATGAAATCGATTTGTATTCTAAAGGCCTCCTATTTGCGCCACATATCTGTTTCAAATCGGGATTACGGCCCGATTTGCCTTCATTCGACTTGTACCTTCTTCAGAAATTAGTAATTCACCTTTTAAGGCAGGTCAATAAATGGTCAAAAACAATGTTTTTGCTTAACTAATAGTTTAAAAAAAAAAATTACTGTAATTTACTTTTATTAATTAAAGTAATTTAATATGAACTAGTTAAATCCATGAATGGTTATCAATGTTTGGTAAATATCTTTATTCGCATTTAATCGCTAGTGTGAAGATTATTAAATTTGCGCGTAATAGCGGGTCAAGACGTTAATTTGAAATTTGCCTTTTTCAAAAATTTCTTCAAATCATCCCTCATACGCGTCCCGAAATAACACACACTCACCTTTTGTATAACTTAATTAACTTAATTAGCTTCCCAAGAAAGTATCTGAGAAGTATTTTGTAGAGTTGGCCTCGAAACGAAACTAGTTTCGGGAGGTTCAAATCCGTAACTAGTTTCGGATTTTTTTAAAAAAATCGAAGCCCCCGATAATCCGAAACTCCGAAATCCTAGTTGACCAATCAGGATGCATGGTCAAGTGTAACATTAAAATCGAAGCGATTACGGCTTTTAAAAAATCTCTAAATTTGTCCATGAAACTGTCCTTTTATCCTAACGAAAAAAATTCCTTGCGAGACTTAAAAGATCTTCTAATTATTTCCCTACCCGAATCCTAATTCAAGCTTTAACCCGATTGTTGTTTGTTTTGTTTTGATTTAATTATAGGGTGGCGATGAATAATTTTTCATATAAAAAATTTTTATAAATTTTTTTTTTCATACAAGAATAAAAATTTTATATAAAGAATTTTACAGCTGTTCTCATAAATTCTGGGACAACGAAAAATTCTGATGACCGAATTCTATGATTTTCCGAGTTCGGCCATCAGAAATTTTTTGTTGTACCAGAATTTGAGAACAGTTGTAACTTTTTTAAAAGTTACTCGGCCGGGTAACGAAAAGCGTCTGCATGACCTAATACTGTATGAAAATTGAAGTTCTGCGGTTTCGGGTTTCGGATGAGGTTTCGAGTTTCGGATAAGGTTTCGGAAGCTATAATCAGAAACCCGAAACTTTCGAATTTTGGCACAATGGGTTTCAGAGCCAACTCTAGTATTTTGTCTTAAATCGATCACGGGTGTATATTAATTGATCAGTTGATTGTCGTGATTTTTGTCATATAATTTCGTTTCGTATGTGATTTTGTGATGTTATTGTATGTGTAGCATCCAATAGCAGTTTTAAGAAATGATCATCCCATGATCCAAAGGAACATGACAAATAAAAGAAGTACGTATATGGCTTTTAATTTAATGTGCTAACCTGGGCCCCGAAGGGGTCAAGTTGTCAGCATATTAAATTCAAAGCTAGATACGTTGTTACTGGATGTGGTGCATCCAATAACGGATTTCCTTTTCTTTTATAACAATGGGCTTAATCGAGCTATTTGGCGTATAACACCTGTTATACAACCTACATTTAGAAAAATAAAGCAATTTATGTTTTTTTTCTACTAACTTTGTTTTTTCGTCCCACTCTGGCAATTAATTTGGCAGAAGCTATTATTTGATGACCTGTTGGGATGACAGGCATTGCTTATTTGTTTTAGAGAAATTAGAACCCGCCGGACGCGGCCAGAAGACAATATTGAAATTACGAATATATAATAAAAATATTCTGTGTACTTTTGTAAGAGCAATAAATTAAAATATTAAATTTATAATTTATTTATTCAACTGTAACTATTTTAATATCATTAATTTTATCTTCCTTAACACTCTTATTATAAGTAAGTTATTATTTCATTTTGTTGCATTGATTTTTCTTTTCGTTTTTCTATCCAAGTTAAGAATAAACCTTTTCTATATTGATATTGATAAGTGGTCCATAATTTTAAAAATCTACTAATTCTCTTACTTAAAATTACTAATATTATAGACAAATAAATTGGGTAGGATATAAACCACACAAGTATAAGTGACCATGATAATATAATACGAAGGTTATGGAAAGCACACCAATCATTTAACCATGAATCCAAAACTTCGATATGACCACATGAAATTATTTGATGATCAGGACCAACAATTTGATCTTTTAAATATGGAAGTGTAAGTGGTATACTACTGCAAGCCCCAATTCTATAACAAAAGAGACAACAGTTAGTTTTATATAAATATTAAACTTTTTGAATTTCATATAAAAAAATAATAATTGTAATTACATATTAAATATAAATAATATAAATGCTACAACCATATGTTTTTCTAATTCTGAAATACAATAGAAACAACAGAAGCTGCACATATAAATCAAATAAAACATAAAAGAATATATACCAGCACCTAACAATTTACTATAAGATATTTAATATACTAATTAGCATTAAAATTTAGACAAGCAAAATATAAAAGAAAATTCATACAGATCGTAGCCATATTTTCCATATAGATCTGTGTTGTTTTTAAGTTGGTTTTGCTTTTGTAATATATTAACCGACATAAAATCTATATATGTATAGGAATAAAATCAAAATTTTTGGATTAAATCAATTGATTATCTCTTAAACTGTCCTGTTATTCATTGTGAAGTTTGAATTATACAGCAACATAAATTAAATTTAATATATTAATCGTAATTTACGTAAGTAACAGGTAAATTTGTCTAATAGTTTAAAGGATAAAAAGATATATAACATACCAAGGCTAGTAAACCCCACATAAATCACAAATACAAGTATGTAGTTAATGAATAGCATCCCTTGATGAATTTCTACTGGTATTGATTGAACAAATTCATCATAAAAAGATATTTTTCTTGATTGACGTGGAATCATTTTTATTAAAACGGATATTTGATAATAAACTATGGGACTTAAGACCCTACTGAAAAAGTATTGATATTTATATGTTCTTGTAGGTGAGGCGCACATTTTTTACCTTCCATTAATGCCTACCATTATGTATCTATTATTGGTAATGC